TTATAAACCACCTGCAGCCCCTTTTGCCTGGCCTGGAAACAAAAATCTCAGAGCAGGTAACAAACCACATTTGGTTATAGGCGATTTCAAGAGCCATAACACCATATGGGGCGATAATGATAATAACAAAGATGGTGAAGAAGTTGAACTCTGGGTACTTAACCAAGACCTCATTCTCTTCCATGATGCCAAACAAAAAACATCTTATCAGATGGAGAAAAGGGTACAATCCAGACCTAGTCTTTGTTACATCAAGGCACTCCAATAATTTTGAGAAATCTGTCCTAAATCCAGTGCCAAGATCCCAACACCGACCAATTGCTGTAGACATTAGGCCCATCATAAGACCATAAAAGGGGAAGCCAATAAGACTAAATTTTTGAAAAGCCAACTGGGACAAATTTACATCAGAGCTGGATGATGCAGTCAACAACATCATGTCCTGACAACTACAAAGTTTTCAGAAACCAAGTATGGAAATCTGCAACAGCGAGTATACCCAGAAGCTGCAGAAAACAATATATCCCCTGCCTCATAGAACAAAGAATGACATAGTATTCTGAGTACCAACAGGCCCATGAAAACGATCCCTTCGCTGAAAACACCATCAAAATTGGTGAAACACTGCTCAACCACATCAGCATTGAAAAGAGAGATCACTGGCAGGAGTTTATCACAGGGATTGACATGACACACAACAGTAAATAAGCTTGGAAAACCATCAAGAAACTCAACTCAGAGTCAAACACCAACTCTAGCATACCAGAAACTACACCAAACAAAGTTGCACACCAACTCCTGCTCAATGGTAAGCCTAGCAACAAGGAAAGGGGATATAAAAAGAAACTAAAAGATGATACAGAGCAAATCCTGAACCAGAGTAACACACAGTTCCCTCCATTTTCTATCGAGGAGGTGGACAAGGGAATAAAGACCATCAAACTTGGCAAAGCTGCTGGAATTGATGAAATCACACCAGAAATGGTACACCACTTTGGCCCAAGAGCCCGGGAGTGGATTACCAAATTGTTTAACAACTGTGTGACTAAAACAAAAGTCCCCAAAGTCTGGAAAAAGACCAAAGTTGTAGCTCTTCTGAAACCAGGCAAAGATCCTAAGTCCCCAAAGAGCTACAGACCAATATCTTTGCTTTGTATTTAATATAAATCATATGAATGACCCATCACGACCCGCATCTCACCAATTGTAGACGGACAACTGTCATGCGACCAAGTGGGTTTCAGACCTGGCCATTCCTGCTGTGGACAGGTTCTTAACTTTACACAATTTATAGAAATTGGTTTCGAAAACCAACTTAAAACCGGAGCTGTGCTAGTAGACCTCCCAGCAGCTTACGACACTGTGAATCACAAGGCTCTCTTCTTCAAGGTAGCCAAAGTTGTAAAAAATGCAACTGTCATCAAAATCCTGAAATCTCTGCTTAACAACCGACGGTATTTCATTGAGATGAACTTAAAGAAAAGCCGATGGAGACTCAAAAAAAATGGACTCCCAAAGGGCTTAGCCCTTGCTCCCATGCTATTTAATATATATATACAAATGACCAGCCTCAATCTGAAAACATCCGCAGATTTATCTATGCAGATGACCTATGCATTGCCACACAATCAAAATAATTTGAAATAATTGAAAACAGACTTACAGAAGCACTAACAATACTCTCAGACTACTACAAACAATGGTTCCTAAATGCTAACCCAGGAAAAACACAAGTCTGCACCTTCCACCTCAACAACAGTCAAGCCAACCAAAACCTCAGAGTCTGGTGGGAGAATAAAGAATTGAAAAACACCAAATACCCAGTATACCTTGGTGTGACTCTTGATAGAACTCTATCATTCAAAGAGCACACTAGGAAACTGAAAGAAAAAGCTGCAAGTCGTAACAACCTTCTGTGGAAACTTGCAAAAACAAAATGGGGTACAGATCCAAACACCCTCAAAACCACAGCAGTGGCACTGTGAATACTGTGCCCCAGGCTGGGCTAGGTCCTGTCATGCATCAGCAATAGACAGAGCTGAATCAGGCTTGCCGTATCATCACAGGGAACCTGAAATCCACACCTCTACCAGCCGTTTACCGCATGGCCAGCATCGCATAACCTGCCATCAGACGTGACACCCTAACAGAGCAAGAACGTGACAAACAACTAAATGACTGCAGACACCCACTGTATGGGTATCAACAGGTTCTACAAAGACTTAAATCTCGTAAGAGCTTTGTCACAACCTTGGGATTAGAAGGGTACAGCCCAGCACAACACCGACTGGAGCAATGGGAGCTATGGGACAGGTCAGCATCCTATGCTTCAGTATCACCACCATCCGAATCTCTCCCTAATGGAACGTCCTTCAAAAGGAACGAATGGGTGGTCCTGAACAGAGCTAGGGCAAGAGTTGGCTGCACAAACAACAATCTCCACAAGTGGGGACTTGTGACCCAACCAACCTGTCCGTGTGGAGAACCTATCCAAACATGGATCACATCCTCCGAGAATGCAAACTGGGCCCACATTGCACAGATCAAGACCTATTGGATGCAAATCAAACAGCTGTCCAATGGTGCCAGTGGTGGTATGAAAAGATATGATGATATAAATATAAATATAAATATATATATATAAACATATATACGTGTGTGTGTGTGTGTGTATATATGTATATATATATATGGATGAGAGAGCCTTAAAGTATTTAATAGAATACGTATGCCTCCATTATTTTTGTGTGGTTATTCATTAAATAAGAACATGGATCTTGTTTGTGAAATTTTCAACAGAAGATATCAACATACCTTGCCCACACCTACATTCCCATCCACATGGTTTCAAGGTGCAGAATTGTAATAACAGACCATGGCAATAGTCTCAGTAAAATATGCTTATTTTTACACATTTCAATGAACTTTCTAATTTTTCCTCAAAGACTTAGGACTGACACATATAATGCAAAACCTACATACTTTTCCCAAATAATTTACATTTCTATATTTTTCTTGGCATGCTGCTAGAATTCAGATCATGGTTATTACATTTCTGTTTATAATATTTCTACATTATTATCTCCAATATAATTTTCTGCTATTACTTTTTTTCTTTTCTGCTGTACTCGAATCAATATTTTCATACACACTTAACACAATTTTCACATCACTTCACTTTTCACAGCACTAAGTACACAAATTTTTTTCCCCAAGCTCCATTTTCTTCTTTTTTTTCAAAACAGAAACTGGTTAAACTGAAAATAACCTGTCAAGTGTCAGATTAACACTAATAACTCTCATATCATTGACTGCAACTTACTCAAACTTTATTTCTCCTGATCTGCGAGTGTAAGTCCAAAAGGCCACACAACCATCACCACCTGTTGATACCAAGACTCCTTCACTGTCTGGAGCTGGACAAAACTGAAGGGCAGTTATCATGCCGGTGTGGCTGGATAAGACTGCAACCTGTTGAAAATGATTTCATTAGTATTCATCAGGATTTTTAATCTTTACATTCTTCCTGTTCAGCTACTTTAACCCGTAGACGACGGGTGGCATGTACGTACATGCCATGGTTGTTGTGGACCGAAAAACAGATGGCATCATATCATGCCCATTCCCATACCATTGGCTCATCGGACGGAGTTTGCTTTTCTCCAATAGTAGTGGCTTCATTTATATGGTAAAGATATTGGGCAATAGCACCTATAATGAAGATAAACCTTCAAAATCATAACATTTTTATAAATCATAGCAAAATAAAAGCTTTTATGTGCCAAATGTCACTTACAAACTACTGATCAAGCCAGGCACAAACAGGGTAACTGCCGATATGCACCAACAATCCTGTTATTATGTCCACTTGCCAAACATTTTTACCCGTTGGCACTGGGTTGTTGTTATAAATGTTTCATCAATGGCTAATAAATATGAACATACATTTTTTTTTTTTTTTTTAGCTCTACCATATAAAGAAATGAGGTCTTAATGCCTACAAGAAACTATACCAACTTAGAGACATTCACTTTTAGAAAATAGCCCTTGGTTCTTTAAACTATCAAACTATACCATCATACCCCAAAATTAATCAACTTACAGGTGCCAGGGTCTGGAGGCTCCATACTCTGATGATCTTGTCACAGGATCCAGCAGCAATTAAAGTATTTTCCCCATCGATGGCAAGATCAGAAATTTCTGCTGATGCTCCTCTCAAGGTGGCCATGAGACGTCCATCAAAGGTGCTCCAGATTTTGACCAATGTGTCATCAGCACCGGTAATGATATATCTGCAATTAAATAATAACAAATTTGTTAGTAATGAGCTTATGAAAATTTTCTTCAATAGCTCACATAAAATGCATCAAATACAGAAGTACAATATATGGTTAAATCTACCTGCCTAAGTGTCTTGACTGATGAGTAAAACAAATCAGCCTACCACAGAAAGGTACATCTACAAAATTTCAAAATCAGAATCCCCCTTACCCTAAAGTAACCATATGAATATTCATGATACATGGTCCTTCACACACAATCTGTGTCCTCACAGAAGTATCAGCCAGCTCCTACATTTTGCAAGACTAATTCAGTGTGTTATGAACAGCATGGAAAGTTCCTGATCTTTAGGAAATTTCATAAAAGGTAGCAAATTCCACTCTTAGTGATATTGAGAAACCATGCCATAAGATGATAGTGGTGGAAGTGAAATGGTTTCATATTTTTTCAAAACTATCCTTGTCAACATGAATGAGAAATTGAAAAGTACCATGGCTTAAAGAAGATGAGTAATAAAATTATCCAAGTCTCTTTTGACCCATTTCTATAATTTGTAAACAAATATATCTAATGACTATTCACATTTGTACCCTGTCCTTGTCTTTAGGCAAGAAAAAAAAAAAAAAGGAAAAATCACTATCCTTCTGAAATCTTATGCACTGTCTGTGCTTTCTAGTATCTATGGGTTCATCAGATATGTGAAGGCTGCAGCACAAAAC